TTAAAAAGTAAATACTTAAACGTTTTAGATTTCTCTCCGATTTACTGACCCTATAAGATCAACTCTCAGATAGACTGAGGAAAGGCCCAAAATAATAAATATAAATTTAACTTCTAATTAAATACAAACAATACTGGTCATTGGGGAAAACAGCTAGGAAAAGATCTCTCACTTCTCTCGGTAAGGAGGTCGAAAATAAGGAATTAAGTTGGGGTTTATATACAAGAGAAAATGGGTGGAAAAAGGCATAGTAAAATGACGATAAGCAATAGGTCATCGTCGGAAATTTAAATACTAAAAGGAAATATGAATGATGGGAAAAATAATATAAAATAATTATAAAATGATGAGCGGTGAAACAAAGGAAATATTTGAATATGAGGGAAAAGGCAAAATTAATAAAATAAATATAGAAACAAATTTAAATATTATTTTTCCAATCAAAAACATTACATTATGAAATTATTTGAACTAAATATTTGAAGAAAATTACTTAAAACGAGAACGTGACAGAGAACAATGAGCGGAAAGAACTTAGTTAACGGGAACGAGATCGCAAATGTTATTCTAGAAAAATTTGAAAATTGTATTTTAAGCCATAATTTTACTTTTTGACCTAGAAAGTTTTGGTGATGGGGTTGGTGTGTCCGTTGTGTCAGGAGTTGTCGGTCTACGTTTGTTTCCTTACAATAAAATTAAATAGTAAAAAAGGCAAACAAAAACTTATTTTTTCGTCTTAGACGGCCTGACATTAGTGGAAAAATAAAATTTAGAATTTGAACAAAAAAGTTTGCAAAAAAGTTAAAATTTAGAATTAAATACAAATGAAAAACAGTTTAACTATCTGAATTGGTAAGAAAAATTGTTTTAATATGAGTGGAAAAATATGAAAAAATTTACTGAGTCTTTGAGAAATTTACCTACAGCAAAAAGCATAAACAACTTATTTGAATATACTAAAACTTTTTCCTTCTTGCCACATAACACCCAGAAGATCACTACGATAGAAAAAACAAGCGAGCAAACAATTACATAATTACAAATATTTCAACACCCCCACCCAGAATTACGTAATAAATTAATACAACATATACCCTACACTATCCGGAATTGCTGAGATAGAATCCGGAGTTGCTGAGATTCCACCACAACACTTGAACATCCTAGAACCGCCATTCCAAAATTACGCAAGCAATTAGTCAGACATATCCCCCTACCCCAACCTTCACACCCTTTGAACATAAGAGTTCTCGCAAATTGCAAGAACAACCAAACCCGAAGCAATTAGTCAATTAGTAATTAGTTTCCATTGCACCCCCTAATTAATCTAAAGCGTTCCACAAGGATGGGATTTCCCCTTACCCATCCCCCCTCTCGCGCCAAACACTTCAAAGAATCTGCGGACAATTGAAAAGGTCCCAGGAGAAAAACTGACTGAGGGAGGGGAGCGAATAAGAGAAGGGCCCTGCCATATTTAAAAAACTGATGATGAAGGAATCATAATAAAATAAAAACCCGCAGACGGATACGGATTCGGAAAGTTAAAAAAATCCGGAATTGCTCTGAGACTCAAGACAGCTAAGGATTTCAAAAAGCAAAAAATGCCCTTTGCCTAGTGCTATTGCCTATTAACGTGTTAACGCACGCGTATTAATTTAAAATTGACAGAGATAATCATAAGGGCAAACAAGCAATTATAAGTAAATAAAGAGAGGGCAAATAATCATAATCAGGAGTGGGATAATAAATAAATTCGAAATTTCGAATTGAAAGAAGCAAATTAGATATTCCAAATTGGGTGTTTTTATTTCAATGTTCTATTCGTAATTAAAATTTAGAAGAAAGAGTGTATATAGAAAAACAACGGTTACAGTATTGAAACAGAGAAAAATATAAGTTTACAGAATCCAATACCTAAAATTAAATAGAATAAAATTATTAGATATAAAAATTTTTCTCGGAAAATGAGGTAGATAATTATTTCAAGAAAATTATTTTAAAATTCTGGTTTATACGGGTGAGGGTAAAATAGGGAATGCCAAAACACGCAACGGACAAAACATGGAACGACAAAATATGGAAAAGATAAAACACGGAACGACCAAAATACGGACCATACCAAAACACGGTCCAGAGAATATTTAAAAAAATATTCTGATTTAAATAAATTCTGATTTAAAAAAATATGATTCTAAAAGTATTCTATGTTTTGGTCATTCGTGTTTTGTCTGTTCCGTGTTATGGAAAGACCGTGTTTTGTCTGTTCCGTGTTTTTATATAGTCCATATTTTAGTCGTTCCGTGTTTTGTCTTTTCCATGTTCTGCCCGACACGTATTTTGTCGTTCCTTGTTTTGTCCGTTCCGTGTTTTAGCCCGACACGGGTTTATACATACTTCTTAAAAAGTATAACAGATTATATTTTCGACAAGATTTTCAAATATAAAAGTTTTTCAAATATATGTCATATTTTTGCAAATTTTGGCGTAATGTTTAAAAAATAGCGAATTTTAAAATATTTAAAATATTTTTTAAATAAATCTCTTCTTTTTGTTGTGTCTCTGCACAACAAGAAATAAGCAATACAATAATGTGTTTATCATACAAAGAAATACAATAATATTGAAGTAATAGAATAAGGTTGGGTAATGTTTAGGAGACAATTAGGAGACACGGACTGACAATTGTGTGAGGCTTTTATAGTAGCCACCACACCACAACACTTTTTAAATAGTTGTTTAAATTTTATCTTTGCAGACATAAAATGCAGTCATTAATCTGACCAACCCAGGGGCTTATTTTTTTTCGATTGACCTCTAGTGGGGCCTATTTTAGAGGGGGCCTATTTTAGAGGATTTACGGTAAATAAAAAACAAAAAATAAAAACAAAAATAAGATTTTGCAGGAACCGCAACTCTACTTGAGAGACTTTAGGATAAATAAAAAATATGACTAAAAATTTTATTTTCTATTAATTTATTCAATAATGTTTTTAAATAATGTTTTTCACCAAAGAAATTTATTTTTGTTTTTAAAAAATATTTTTTAAATTTACTTTTTAAAATTTTATTTTATTTTTTTCTCTCTAAACAGAATTTTATATTTAGCCTGTTTACAGACTACGATAAATAATATTTACCTGTTTACCAATTAAAAAAATTGATTAAGACAGGGGATACAAAATAAGGTAATTCATTAAAAAATCTTAAGACTTTAAAGCTTATGACTGTATTCTCGCTTTCACGTGTTTGCGCTTTCAAAATCTTGCCCTATTTGACTTTGCGATTTCTTAACATTCCATTTCTATAGACGACTGGAACTTATTAACTAAAAATAAGGATCCAAAGATTCAGCAAATGGTCTGTTCGTTCGACCAGTCTAAAAGGGGTCGAAAAGTCGAAATTGAAGAAAATGCCGAAAGATGTCAACTGAGTTATCGTTTAAGCTATTTTTTAAGACCAAGAATGTCTTCATTAATCGATGCTGAAAGGTTTTATGATGTTTTAAAGCCGCGGCATAAACTTGCACCTCACTGTATTACATTCCTTTTAGGATTTGAGGGATATGTATAAGATGAAGTTCAACGAACTCGGGTTCAAAATATTCAATGTTTTCCTAGTTATTGTTCGTAATTTTCTTCTTTTATCACTTAATTTCAATGGCTATATCTCGAGTTTTTAGAAATCCGCAATTTTGTTAAAAATCAACAAGAAATTATCAAACAGATTTTTTTAAAAAATAATCCTCATCAAAAAACCACAAATAAGGAATAATCCGCATTTTGTAACAGAGTGACACAAAAGTTTACATGGACTTTTTAAAACAGTTAAAAAAATTTTTTTAGTGATTGGCAGTCAAGGCGAGATTCCTCTCCTCATTGCTTTCTCCTTCTAAATGCCCTTTTCCATCGGCAAAAATTATTATTGCATTTGCCAATCGGCAATTAAGACAATTTTTATTGACATATTCCTTATTGCCTTTCCTTCCCCTGCCTTTCCTTCCCCTTGAAAATTTTGCCAGCCTGCTTGACGAAATTGGGATGGAGGGGGGGGGGGGGATGGGGCAGGATAAAATTTCATGACACTCACTCCTCCTCGTTACTACAGACTCCTCCTCTTTACTAACGCTTACCCTCAGCTCTCCATTTCCATTAATGTTAATATAAGCAAATCTATTCTAGCCAAACTCAATCATTTTGTTTAAAAAACTTCAAAAACAACCTCTCTCCCAAATTCTTTAAAAAGTAAAAATCTTTCTCTGATTGAAAGAAGTAAAAAAACAAATGAGAGGCAAAGCAAAAATGCTTCTTTTGCCTTTCAATCTTGTTTGGCTGGCTTTGATTCTGGCTTCATTTTTTGATAAAAATGTTGCTTATAATGAACCTAGATTGATGGCAACAATACAACAAAATCTTATTTATGCAACGTTTCCAGGCGAGAGATTCCCTCAGACTCGATACACATTCAACGCAGGTAGGGTTTATTTTAGTAAGGCTATGTGGGGATGGGACGGGCTGAGAAAAAAAGTCACAGTTTGGATCTTATCTCTCAAAATCCTCTTTAAATCTCAAATTTATTGAACTTTTTAAATAATTCTAAGGCTCTCTTAATCTTATTCCCTTTAAATCCATCGATATCGCCCCAATTTATGCTAATCATTTTATTCGCTACAAATCCCTCGATATCTCCCCGAGTCTCTTACTTAATTTGTATCCTAATCCTTAAGTATTATCCTAATTTTGAAATTTTCTCATTGAAAAATACAATGCCACCCTCTATTTGAATGCCACCTTATAATAGAATGCCACCTTTGAAGGTGATTGAAAAATAGATTGGCATGGCAATCTAATACAGTAAATACGGTATTTCGTAAACAAAAAATTAAAAGTTTCTGTTTATTCAGAATATTCCTTTAACTAATTTCTGAAATTTTTATAGATGTGGGCTTCGAAGACTGGCGACTCGAACAAATAAATAACATTTCCGAGATAGACAACACTAGAATGCCCCGAGGGAGTACACAATCGAATGATGCGCTTATGTATGATGAATGGAACTACCTTCGAAATAAGTGGATTTATGTGCAGGGCGAATGGATTCAAAATAATGTGAATGTTGGAGTGTTTGATGCTGCTGTGACAATTCTCTCAAATAAAGTTGCAATATTTACCTCAAATAATAGCAACTTAAACTCATGTGATCATATTACTGCTGAAAATGATTTGAGGGAATATGATACAATCCAGGTTGAAACCAAAGAAGCATTAAGAGATAGCCCTAAAGAAAGGAAAAAAATACTGTTGAAAAGGAAAAAATTGCTTTCGAAAATCTGTCAATGTTTTACACCTTCTTCAACATCTCCTCATCACACTCCTCATCAAGAGGCTTCCACTCCATCCACAAAAAATCATTGCGAGGAACTAATCGAATTAATTATTCGCTGTAAAGTGTTTATTAGAGATTTACATTCTGAAGGCGCAGAAGGCTCTCTGATTGATATATTCTCTTTTATGAATAATCATCCACATCTTCAATTGCTTAGACAAATTTTAAATTTGTCTACAGTTCAAAGTCGAGGGTTGGATAAAGCTATAAATGAGAGAATTTACCAAGAACATCTGGAGAATAAAATGAGAAAAGCATATAAAAATGCAATTGTGCAAGGGGCTGGTCCTGTTGGTTTATTCGCTACCTACAAACTTTTTATTGGTAAGACAATTTTTAAGTTTTACTTAGGAAAAACTTTGGCTAGTAAGCATCGAATTGAAAATTATATAAAAAATCAACGACCGGTATGTTCTATATTTGGTCGCTAGGTTTACAGGATCGAGATCATGTCCGTTTACCGCTAGATAATTTTGGAAGGGGTTTAGTCTAATTCTACAAACAATAAACAGGCAATTTTCAATCTATTAAAGTAATATTTTTAGGAGGAGTGAATGTAACGCTTGTAAATGATCGTTCCGAGGATTATATAAGAAATCGAGTTGTCTATTTTGACCGAAAATGGATGTCACAATTACGTTTCTTTTTGGGGACTAAATTTGATGAATTATTTTATGACAATGAAAACGGAGAAAAACCTTTGGGAAGAATACTTGATGAAGATATTGGGTTTGTTAACATAAAAAATATGGAAAATGTTTTGAAGAAACGGTTAAAAGTTCTGTCAAGTTATATAAATGGACGAGAAATTCAACAAGGAAACCAACAAGAAAAATCATTTCTGAATTTGGTTTATAATACAGCAGTTTTGAACATAAATACACAGTATGAAAAGCCTTTGGCCATCCTCGGTGCTCCACAAAAGCGTCCTGAATCCTTTGATTTTAATCATGTGATAGAAATGTTAGAAAATTATGAAGGAATGACAATTTTCGAATCAAATGTCATTGGAATTCCTTTTGATATATTTTTCTGTGCTGGTGGTGCAAGAGACCAAATAAGGACGAACTTTATAGGTTAGAATGTGATACAAATGTAATTAGTACTTAGTTATTTTAAATTAGGTCGATCCTCTTTCTAAACTAAGGTTAGCTTCATAATCTATACTATTGATAGCACTCTATATATGTGTAAGATACACTGAACTCTACTATCAGTTAGAGATACAGACCAAATTCGACTAGACTAGTTATACAATATTATACCATTATAACATATTTTCAGAGCCACCGCAACAATTGACAGAATCAATAAATTATGGTGTTGTTATCTTCGATAAAATGAATCTTAATATTAAAGTCTTCGAAGATTATGCTGCCTTCTACCGTGATCCAATGGCTTATATGAAGGAACATCTGGAGAAACAAAATATTGATGAATTGATTAGGAATTCTGACCTTTCTAGGATGCTTAAAAGGAAGTATAAGAATTTAACCGAGATGATCTTACAAGATAAACAAATTGTTGTTCGTCTCTTTGAATCAAATCCAACATTGCATATTGCATCCATAACACCGCAAGCACTTGTAGATTTTATTGAAGATTTGCAAAATGAAAAAGAAATGAGAATGCTTTTAAAGAATCACTATGATAATTTTCACAATGAATTGCAAAAAAGATGGGCCAAAGCTCTTTTTAGTTATACATTTTCTACTAGACATCCGGAGAAAGTAGGAGAAGTTGTTATCGAAGGTGATGAACATGTTGGAAGTTCAAGTACAAGTTCTAGAGGCAAAGAAATAGCTCATGAACCCGAACAAACTCTTAAATTTGACCCTCACAGTGCCAACACAAGCACTTTTTATGTGGCAATTTATGGAGTTGAAAATCCTGTGGCAAAAATTGGTGGAAGTTCAGCAATTATTGCCGCTATAGGTGATGCAAATACAAGTGCTCATTTTATGACTGCTAGCGGGATTAGTACAGGCAAGTTACAACGAATAGTAAGGAGCAATAACGAGTCTTTTAACTATAAATTTTCAATTTCTCCCGGTATAGTGATAAAATTCACAAAATTGCCCTTACTACACTACTGCTCAAAAGTATTGCACCAAGCTAGTTGACCAAGACTTTTTATAAATTATTCAAAATTAGTGAATTATATAACCAAATAGGCATTCTTGGAGTAGCATTCTTGGAGTCCAATTATTTACATTATTAAAACTCTACAGAAATTTGTTCTTCAGTTGATTTAGTAGAAGTATATCAATTATTTTTAATTTTAGGCCGATTGGGAGTTGAGAATGCTGTTAATGCGATTAAATGGTACAATCAAAGCAATGAAGAGTTAAATCTGGAGACAATGTTAGGTGCCGCCTTGAGAAAAGTTCGAAGGCGAGTACTCGAGAAAGCTCAAGAATATGTCAAGATAGAGGAAGGAGTAAAAATGGATCTTGAAAATTGAAGAAGAAAGTGAGGATTGATTTGAGAAGATGTACAAGTGATTTGAAGTCGTGAACTTTTTAGTTTTAGTGGGGTTTTATTGGGCTTTTTAGATTAGGGAATAGAAAACTTTAAAAATAGATTTGAAATTAAAAGTTACGAGATTTTAAATTTTCTACAGGCAAAAATTTTGGAAGGCCAAGAAGCCAGATTTCTACCAATTTTACCTCAGATTGGGTATATTTTTTGAGTTTTTGCGTTAATATATCGGCGTTTTTGCCGATATGTTGGAGTTTTCTATTCTCTAAATTTCCACCACAAGGACTCAACATTGTTGACCGCTGAGATCCACATTATTTATCTTTTTCAATTTAAACATTTTAAACTAGTGCTGGGTATGATTCAAATAGTTTTGGTCTCAACTCTGGGACCTGGCTGTAATTTGAAAAATACTTTCTTTAATTCAAAAATATCTTAGCTTTTGGGCTGGAACTTTTTTTAAAAAAGGTACTTCGGACCTGTAAAAGAGTAAATACTCAGCACTGCTTATAGTCTAGCGTTATCTTTGATTAAAAAATATATTTGATTCCCGCTATACCGAACCTCAATTGTAGTCCTCAATCAAATATGAAGGTATACAGGGAGTCAAGATTATTTTTAAATCTTGAAATGCCCATATATACTATGTATATCATCTATTTTTAATTTTTTATTATCCAAAAATTCACCACAAGGACTCAACATTGTTGACCGTTGAGATCCACATTATTTATCTTTTTTGAATTGTATTCTTTTTGGAGTTGGATAAATTTAGACTATTTTATTTTTAAATTTTATTAAATTAAATATGTAAGACTGCAGAAGTTTACTTCGTGCCTATTTGACAAAGGATAAGTGAAAATCAGTATACGGTAGTATATTCCAAAAGTAGCTGATAGAGCATTGAGACTTAAATTTTTGCATGGCATTTCTCTTTGACTTTCTCTTTTCTTAAACTTTTATTAGTCGACATTTAAAATTTTCTAGCTAAAAAGTTATCAAATATCATTAATAGTAAACTTATTACCTAAACAAAAGATCTCCTAAAATAAATTTTTATATTTGATACAATACTACTCATCATGTCCCTCATGTTCACCATGATCACGTCCCCCATGTTAAATATTGTCCTCATCACGTCCCTCATGTCAAACTAATTCTAATAACGGTCCAATATCTTGTCCGCCGATGTCTGAACGGCATTTTGGGCACCTAGGATCATTTGTAGGTGCTCTTTCCAGACAAGTCTGATGAAACTGGTGACCACAAGAATTTAAAACAAAGCGTTTTTAGCGATTTATGTAAGCTTAGAAATGTTCCATCCTCGAACATTTCCTCATGACAAACAGAACAGACCATATCTAAATACTTTAATTAGGATTGTTCACGAACGTTTGCTGAAACGTAACCAAACCCAAATATTTTGACTAAATAACTGAAACCGAAAATTAACCGGTAGTGACCAACCCTAATTTTAACAATAAATTAGTTTTAAAAATTAAAATTGATTAATGTATAAATTAATTTTAAAACTAAAAATTTGGAATTAAAAATTAAAACCACAAGAAATTTTAAATCTTAAAATTAAAAAAAAATTTTAAAGAAAAATGTTTTAGATATTAAAAGTTTGAAAAATTAATTTAAAAATAAATAATTAAAACTAAAAAAACAAATGAAAACTAATGATGAATAAATTAAGAGTGAGGAATGTTAGTTTTTCGTTCCTATCCCAGATAATATGGAGTATGTTTGTTAGAAAAAGAAGCACCTCGCAAATAGGAAAATGTGTAGACATATTCTAACACATTCAGAGAATTTGATGACCGTCATCAATTTCTCTGGCTTAGGGAAAGTTGTTTGCCAGAAACCATTCGGAAATAATGAAGGAATAAATATATGTGACCTATAAAACAAATCAATAGGCTCACTAGAGCCGAGTTAAGCAGTATATTTATAAACCAGAATCCTAGGATAATTATCTGAAAATAAAATTATCTACCTTATTTTCTGAAAAAATTCTATTAAACTTTTATTTAGATACTTCCGGAAAATAAATTGACTTATTAAAATGTGTGTATTCTGATTATTTTAAATTTCTTAAAATGTTATTCTGATTAATTTTTATATGTTGGACTGTGTACTAAATTTTTATACATATCTAAAAATGGAATTTAAAAAATGAAATAAAAAAAACAGTTTTTGAATAGGGTTGTCGGTAAAGTAGCTAAATATATTATTAAATCGAAAATATGTTATGCAGTTTATATAAAACCGGGTTCTATAAAATTTCAAAACTAGGAAAGTTAGCTACTAAATCTGAAACCCTATTTTTAAATAAATTATGGTGGAAAAAAATAAATTTTCGAATATTGTTTTAAATTTTAGTTTAGTTTAGCTATATACAATCCGGCTTCAATGTTTAATTTAACTCGGGCTTTTTCAACGCTTCCAATAACATTCCTGCTAAATCATTTTGCTCGCTGCTTTTCCTATAATTTTTGATAGCAGAAACTGCTTTCTCAACATCGAGCATACCTTAGAAAAGTGAAAATAAAAATTTTAATAATATTCAAGCCGAAAATTCACTAAGTTAACACAACGGCTGTGAACAGTGCTTAAAATTAGTACAATTTAAGGTACAAAGTATGAGTATAGGACAAAAATTAAGGTTAGTATGAGGACTTAATTGTACAAAATCTAAAAGGCTGAAAAAATAGCTATTCAATTGTTTTATAAAATATGACTAATAAATCTCAGAAACTTAGAAGCCATGACCTGTGACTAAATTAGTTTTTCTAATGAAATTTAGCTCAAATTTATAAATTTTCCTTTAGTTGGTCAAAATTTTGAACTATTTGGTATTATTCAGATTTTTATATTTATTTTGGCACTTAAGAAACCTAAAATAGGCACCCAATTTTCAAAGATAAATGGATTTAAATTAAAGAATCAGTGAGATTTATATAACTTGCCATCATTTGTTTCAAGTGTATTTTCATCGTATATATTCACAAAAATTGCTGAATCTTTTTTTCCTTTAACCAATTTTACTGCATTTTCTTTTCCATAAATTTTAAGCAAAAATGTTTTTCTAATTACACCGTTTTCGTCAAAATGAGGAAGATGTTCGTCTTGTTTATCTTGAATTGTTGCTTTGCTAGAGCTAGCTTCTCCTTTTTCCTTTTCATTACTAAATTTAATTTTCACATTCTTTTTCTCCTCTTTTTTATATACTTCATTAAATACTTGATAAAAAATAGCTCTAGACCACATTTCTTTTAATTCAACAATAAAATCATTATATTTTTCCAAAACTATTTTACGGCCATCTTCTATGCTTTCCTTCAAAATTTTAAATTTTTCGACTTTTATCTTTTCTTCTAACAATTTATTATATTCGTTTCTTTTATTGTCTAATTTTTCTTTCAGTTCTTTATTGTTTTCGTTTTCATTTAATTCTTCTTTCACTAATTTACCGACCCTTTTTTTCTTTTCTTCAAATATTCTATCATGTTCTTTTTTTATTTCTTTTAATTTTTCGTTCAATTCTTTTTTAAGTTCATATACTATTTCTTCCATAACTGATTTTTCTCTTTTCTTTTTAAATTCCTCATCATTCATCTCTTTCAATTCCTCCCTTTCATTTTTAACTTCTTCAATTAATTCAACTATTGCCATAGGTGTTTCTGACTCGATTTGTATTGTTGTCTCTGTCTCAAATATTTGGACAGAAATAATTTCGTCAGCTTCGGAAAAATCGTTATACCAAAGTTCTTTTCCATCTGGGAATGTTTTATAAACTTTGCCTGTTCTAGTCAATGAGCTTTGAGAATTATAGAATAACGCTTCCATACCAAAAGAAAACAAATTAGCCATACAATAATAACGTGTTATAATTTTTTCAGAGAGGAAAGATGGTTTTCTAATCATTTCTTGTAAATTTGATAATAAACGGTAATCCATTGAATATGTTTTAAAAGACATCTTTTGATTTTCTTTGAAAATTGGTTTGTTATCCACTTTGTTGTGGATAATAGTACCATATTTTATTTCTTTAATAAAATCAAGGAAAAATAAATCAAAAGGAATTTCAACATTTTTTCCATGTTCAACCTTATCTAAAATAGCCAGTGGCTTTTCATTAGCAGTATTAATGTCCAAAACTTTCGTGTCACTTAACAAATTCAAAAACGATTTTTCAGTTTCTTTTTCAATTTTCTCTTTTTCCTGTACATATTCTGACAAAGCGTTTACCCGTCCTTTCAATGCATTTTCAAAATTTTTGAACTTTAACCAAATTCCAGTACGAGTCCATTTTATTTTTGATTTTTCTACTTCTTCAAACTCAGTACCCAAAAACAAGCGCAATTTTGGTATCCAATTGGGATTAAGGTACATTATTTTGTCCATATCTACTATTGAAGCTTGACGACTAATCACAACATTTACGTTCATTCCTTCTTAAAATTATTTATTGATTTTCGTTAAAAAAGTGATGAAGACACCCCGTCTCGAATACTTTTCCAGAATTATCCCTGACCCGAACCAGGACTGGTAATCATGGCATCTGTTCGATTTTTGGTTGTGTTTGTTACGTCCGAGGGTGTCGAGATTTAACTAATGTCGACGAGCACAATAATAACACTTCATCCGATGTAGAAATAAACAATGAAGGCGAAGGGAATGGGACAGACGAAGGAGATCAGTACTAGCCCCGCTAGTATGATCCAACTAGACTGACGTTTACGCAGGCTTTTATAGTAAACACTTTAAGTGCTGACGCTATACTCAACAGTGTTTGGCGTGGTTTCCTACTTTTGAAACATAACTTAGATAGAAGAAATTTTCCCTGAGATGGAAATTCTTTAAAAAATTTTTTCGTTTTCCTCTTCAATAATTTTTATTAAAAAAGCAATTAATAATACCAATGAAAAGTTTGATTGCAGCATATAAACCAGCTGGACCATCACTCTCTACTATTGTATTTTTATATTCTTTTCTGAAATTCTTTTTATTTTCCAAATGTTGAATGTAAATTAATTCAATAACAGCTTTATCCATTTCTTTGCTTTGTAATTTTGATAAATTAAAAATAAATTTCAACAAATTTAATGCGGTGAAATTAAACAATGATTCCTTGTAGTTTAAAGAGGATACTTTTTCCATGAATGAGTAAATATCAATCAAAGAGCCTTCTGAGCATTTTGAATGTACATCTATCATAAAAGTCTTGCATTTTATAACTAAGTCTATTAATGACTTGTAGTAGTCCATGTTTGATAGAGTATCAGATTCCTTGAAATTTAAAATATGTATCAAGGATTAGACGGCCCGCCTTCATTTGGACATTTCTGAATTACCAAACTTGAACAATTTTTGGAACACTCTCGACATTTAATAGGTTTACATCTAATGTTACTTCTATATTGCTACACTAATAAAACACACTTGATAGTTCCCAGTCGTCTACCTAATCTAGTGTATACAACACAAACTGAAGCATGACACTTGTCCTTTATGTATAGTCGTGATTAGTGTTGACGGATCCAGGTATCCGGATCCGAAATCAGGAAATTTTCGGTCTGTATATTAAGGATGGTGGTTCCTGGGAAATAACGGATATCCGGAATCGGTATCCGAACCGAAATTTTCCGGATATCCGAGGTTTTTTCGTTTCCGGATACCCGGAACCGCCAACCTTACTGAATACCCGACAATCATATCCGAACTACTATATTCCAACTATCGGACATCCTTAGTCCTAATCATTACCTTTTCTTCTACTATCTCTTTAATATTTTTACTATCGTTCAAAATTTCATCATAATTTTTTAATTCGTTTGCAATAACTTCAGACTGATGAAGATGTACGTTAATATTTATTAAATTATCCACTGCAAATTTTCTAACTTTATTTACAAGCCTTTCTAATGCCTTACTGAAGGTTTCAAAAAGGTCGTTATATTCCACTTTGCCTTTAAGATATTTATATTCCTCAAATTGAATTGGATCATCAGCGTATCTACCTCCACGAGGCATTCCAGTTGAATAATCTATCTCAGCAATTTTTTCTAAATCTTCAATCCGCCATTCTCTTAACTTTCCATCTATAAGAATATATAATATTATGTAAAAACAATAAATATTCTCCAAATATTATACAAAAATTAGAAAATTTCTATAAAAACAGGTCTCTTGGGGATGTATCTAATTATCCTGAAACGATCTTAAATATTAATACCTTTGTAGAAGTTCCCAACAGCATCAACATTACACTTCGAAACACAGAGCAAAAGAAAAATTAACAAAAATTTTACTTTGTCTCGCATTTCTTTGGGTTAAAACAATTTTCTTCAATAGAAGAGTTTTTGTATTTTAGTCGAGCTTTTTTATTTTAAAATTTTTTTGAATAAAATGAAAAGTTAGGGGATTGATAGATGTATAAATATGGAGGCAAAGAGAAAATGGGGAAGGGTAAATTTTTCTGTCAATCATATGAGATCGATTACAAAAGCTGAGTTTCACAATATTTCGGCAAATTTTATAAGAGAAATTAATAGAAAAAATTTTTTTGCCCTTTATAAATTTTAAAAATTCACAAGAGCATGATAGAGGTAAGACTAATAGATCGTATTATTTTGAACAATAAATGATTTAATCGTATAAATTTGATCAAATTAGAATTTTTCACAGTTGCGCTTGAATGTCTTTAGCCAAAATACTTTAATAAATTAATAAAAACATGATTTTGTTTTTCTTTCCTCTATGGAAAAAATAATATTTTAATTTTTTAAAATAATTGTGAAATACCTTTTAATAAATTATAAGGTAGTTTTGTAATTTTTTGGGAAAAGGGTTCTGCACAGCTCTTTTGATCTCGCACTTCCTCTATATATATGTACATCAACTGAGTCCCAGTAATTTAATAAGATTAAAAGATTAAATATAATATCTGAAGGATTGAATGGATTTGGGGGTTATATCATGACCTAGGGGATATCAAAGGATTTGGATCCTTTGAAAGCCCCGCTAAATTTAATTCGACAAATAATTAAATTTAATGATTCTGAACTAAAAACTTTTTATATTTCAACTAAAATTTTTATACAAATCTAAAAAATGGAAATATAAATATGTTGAATAAATTTTAGAAAAAATAGTGTTTGAATAGGGATGTTGGTAGGAGTGAACATTAAAAAATAATTAAAAAATAATTTTTTGGACAAATAAAAATTATGTATACGCCCGTGAAGTTGTTTTGTTTAGCTTTAAAGATTTTAAAAATATTTTGATGTCTGTATCAACTCGGTTTTTGCGGTTGTAATTAGTTAAGTACTACCGCCAGTTGATTACCGGGCCATTTGTGTACCGAACATTAGTAAAGCTACCTTTTTACGGAAAAAGGTATACCGGAAAATTCTGAAAATGGTTCACAGAAAATACGGAAAATGGATCCCGTAAGACCTCACGAGCGTATAAATTAATTTTATTTGTCCAAAAAATCATTTTTAAATTATTTTTAATGTCTACTCCATAAATGTCCAGACACATTGCTGCATTGTTTGGAGTTTTACAAAGCAAAAATTTAAAAATTAATGGGTGAATAAATGGATTGTAATTTCTTTGTATTTTTTACATTTTTGTACAATTCCTTTTCTACATTTCTGAATTTCATCTTTTTTCCATTTACTTTACCTTCATACATCTTTTAATCTTAATCGTTTTTCAACGCTTCGACAAACATTTCTGCCAAATCCTTCTGTTCGTTGTTTCTGTTATACCCTTTGATAGCAGAAATTGCTTTCTCAACATGTAGTAAATCTAAGTAAAGTGTTAATAAAAAAATTTGCTGTGTAGGAAGTACACTGCGTTCCAAAAGTATATGCACCCCTAGTTTTTTTGATTTTTTATACATTTTTCTTTGTTAATTTGATTAGACTTTTTGTCTAATTATTCTTCTAGATAAATGTGTATGTTTAAATAAAAAATAAAAATTTCCCCTATCCCATTTCATGTTTATAAACATTTATGCAAAAGTTCACTGTTCCAAAAGTATATGCACCCCCTCATAAAATTTTTATTAAGCATTAAAAAATCCAAAAAAATTTCTCTAAAGATATCTATCAATATAGATAAGAAATACAAAAGAAACGAACTTCTGTCATCATTCTATCATGAAGATATTGAAACCCTAAAATCAACGGAAAACCGGGGGTAGACGTCTTTAAAAAATATTTTCGACCCCTTACAAGAGAAATAAAAATTTTATTTCGGACTTATTTGAACTAATGGTAAGGTGCTACTTAAAATCACTCGAGGTGACATTATCACCGTGCAAAATTCTCTTATCTCAAAAAACTTGCCTATATTTATTTTATTTTTATTCACTTCATATGTTTCATCAGCTATATTCACAAAAATGGCCGAATCTTTTTTTCCTTTAACCAATTTAACTGCATTTTCTTTTCCATAAATTTTTAACAAAAATGTTTTTCTAATTACACTGTTTTTGTCAAAATAAAGAATATGTTCGTCTTGTTTATCGTGAATAGTCTCAACTTTATTGCTAGTACTTGCTTCTCCTTTTTCTTCTTTCTTAAATAATTTTTTAACTTTATCTATAATGTATTGTTTGATTCCTTTTCTTTTCCCGTTTCTGCTTCCTTTTTCTTCTTCCTTTTTTTCTTCCTTTTTTTCTTCCTTTTCTTCTTCCTTTTCTTTCTTTTCTTCCTTTTCTGCTTCCTTTTCCTTACTTAATTTAATTGTCACCTTCTTTTCTTTATCCTTTATGTATATGATGCGATTATCAAGTAAATGATTAAAAAGAGCTTTAAACCATTCTTCTTTTAATTCAACAATAAAATCATCATATTTCTCCAACATTTGTTTACGTTCAGCTTCTTTGTTTTCTTCTCTTTCAATTTTAACTTCTTCAATTAATTCAACAATTGCCATAGGTGTTTCTGACTCAATTTGTATTGTTTTCTCTGTCTCAAATATTTTTACATAAATATTTTCAATCTCGATAGTATTATCACAATTAATTCTTCCAATTGGCATTATTTTATAAACCTTGCCTGTTCTAGTCAATGAATTTTTAAAATTATTTTCTTCGACTTTCATAGCTAAACGAATCAAAATACTTGTTTGATGATAACGATTTCTAATGTTTTGTGAAAGGAAAGATGATTTTCTAATTAATTCGTCTAAACCCTTTAATTCTAATAAATTCCTCGGATTTACGGAGTATTCACTTCCTTTGAATACATTTTCGTCAAAATCTTTCTTGTTGAGAATAACAGCACCATCTTTCAATTGTTTATTAAAATCACAGAAAAATAAATCAAAAGGATTTTCAATATTTTTCCCTTTATCAGCTTTATCCAAAATAGCCAGTGGCTTTTCATTCAATGTATTAATGTTCAAAACTTCTGTATCAAAGAGCAATTTCAAAAACGATTTCTCATCACCATCTTTTTCAATTTTTTCTTTTTCCTGTACATATTCTGACAAGACGTTTAAACGTTCTTTCAACGAATCATCAAATTTTTTAATATTTAAAGGAATTGAAAAATATTCATATTTTTCTTTCAATTTTTCTTCACGGAGTAATTTATCAAATTTAGTACCCAAAAAGAAACGCAATTTTGACATCCATTGATCAAGTTGCACTACAGTATGATATATTTTACGGTTAGAATGACTATTCACAACAGTTACATTTATTCCTTCTTAAAATTATTTACATATATTGATTTCGTTTGAACTCATTGTTATAGTTAGATTCTAGCAAAACCCGCCAAGCTGATTAAGATTGAATGACAACAAGATCGATAGTTTATATGATTCTAAACAAAATCATGAAAGTATCATACATTGCTGGTACCTCGCTGGAACGGCAAACGACTAAAGTCTTCAACGGAGAATAAATCCAATATAATAAACTCAAGTTATATCCCCGCCCTCCCCATGAAAAAGCTAGTAAACTCAATACTGGCTCGGCTAGTAGAATTAATCACTATGTAATAAGGAATTTTTAGTCATTCCTTGGTGACATCACTTTTAATTTATTAAAATTACCCATAAAAAGTTTGAAGGCAGCATATAAACCAACTGGACCAGCACCCTCCACAATTACATTTTTATATTCTTTTCTCAACCTTTTATTTTCCAAATGCTGATTGTAAATTGCCTCAATAATAGCTTTATCTATTTCTTTGCTTTGTATTTTTGATAAATTAAAAATAAATTTCAACACATTTAATGCGGTAAAATTAAACAATGATTCCCTGTAGTTTAAAGAGGTTGCTTTTTCCATAAAAGAGTATATATCAATCACGGTGCCTTCTGAACCGTTTGAATGTAAATATGCCATGAAAATTTTGCATTCTACAACAATATTTATCAATTCCTTGTATAATTTCCTGTCCGGCGAAGTAGCAGATTTCTTGAATTTAAAATAGGTATCTGTTTTTGATTTAACGTTATCCTCAACATAATAGGTAAATATATGATAGAACTATATGATAGAACTAAAACATATCTAACAGAACTAAAACGGAAAGTTTATCAAAAATACCGAGTTTCCATATTAGAGCCCCATGGTCCATATTTTTCAACTATCCTCTAAGGTGGGGGTTTGGGCTCTGAGGGTGGGTTTGGGCTTTGATGTTGTCTGGGGGTGGGTTTAGGATCTGATGTTATCTTTTTTCTCAAACTAGATGTCTGGCCATACCATTACATGTCTTACCTTACCATACCAATGTAAGTTTACTTTTAAAACGCTTTTCAATTTCAGGCCAAGAGTTAAATGGCGATTACTTAATACTTTACTATTTTTGCTCCCTATTTGGAAACGCTAATAGAAATAAACGGAAAGTTTCAAAAATATATCCAGTTTCTTTACCTCTTGCATTTTCATCTTTGTTTGTGATTTTTCGACAATTATATCATACTCTTTTAATTCATTTGCAATAACTTCAGCTTGATCAGGATTTAGTTTAATATTTAGTAAATTTTGTTGTGAAAATTCTATTACTTTATTTACCAGTCCTTTAAAAGCTCTATTAAATGTTTTGAAAAGCTTTTTATATTCATCATTTTCTTCCATATATTTATATTCATCGAATTGTATCGGATCAAACGAGTATAAACTACCACGAGGCATTCCAGTTGAATTATCTATCTCAGCAATTTGTTCTAATCGTTTTAATCGACTTTCTTTTATCACTTTTTCTGTAAAAATGAATAAAAATATTTCTAAAAAAAGAATGACTCCAACTATATTACAATATTAAGGTCCCGCCTATTTTTCTCATCTTAAACATAACATTTTGGCGGGAGACACAGAACAATTTTTTCCACTTTTTTGTTAACCACTTGCCTTTACTTGCTTGGCAATTTTTGTTATTCAGCAACACACATATTTTTTGGCTTGGGATTTAGCCTTCACCACATATAACATTTTTTAAACTTGGCTTGTTTGTTTTTTGACTTGCCCGATGCCTAGAAGCAAATTTTGATCAAAATTTGCACGGATATAAACGGATCAGATATTGACCTCACGGATATGTCCGGAATTGAATGGCAAAATCTATGTCCATCTGCAGGACTGTTCTTAGAGTATCGTTTACACAAGCTGTTTTAAATATTAATACCTTTATCAAAGTTTTTCGCAGCTGCGCCAACATTAAAATTCGAGGCGAGAATCAAAGAAATAAATAACAACAATTTTGCCTTGCGTCGCATTTTTCTTTTGTTAGAAAACAATTTTCTTCGGCAGAAGTTTTTGATGTTTATTGATATTTATATTTTAAATGGGATTTTTAATTTAAAAAATATTTTAATTAAATGATTAAATTAGAGTTAATTATTATGTGTATATATCGAGACAATAAGAGTGGAAAAAAGGGAGTGGCAAAATCTATTGCATTATTGCCACATAATTGCCAGAAATAATCTCTTACAATTTTTGAGTAAATTAGAGAAAAATTAATTAAAATACCATTGAAAATATTAATAATTGCCCTTTAATGGATATATCAAGCTGTATTTAAAAAAAGTGCAAGGCGCGAGTTTGAACCGAACTTTTATATAAAATAAGGATAATAAATTCTCTTGAATATTCACAAGGATATAAATCACAAGAAAATCCTCGTGAATACTCATATGAATATTCACGAGAATTTTATTCAATAATTTTATTAAAATTTAAAATAATTATTAATTTATTTCCAAACATTATTAATTGACAGTTAATAATTTATTAATAATTTTTAAAAGTATATCCGTAAAGAAGAGTCCGGACACTATTAAATTAATGGGGCCATTCATAATTTTTGAATGCGGTTTTAAAAATCCAAAGTTTTTCTTCGTGTTTTGATTCTATTTCCTATAAATTCGTTTTAATTTTATTTGCCGAAGACACAAAAAATAAATTAAAATTTTTTTGAGACCAAACAAATTTTTTAGTTTTGAAAAAACTCTATTAAAAATCTTATTTTATTTTCGACATCATTTTTATAATTACTATAACTAGATATGTATATATACCTATCATTTATCCTCCGATATCTAAATCTCTTGATAACCTTCCAAACCTCCTAAATCCACAATATTATCTCTATGTTACAGTAAGGTGCAAAAGTTTACATTTCAGGCAGAGAAATCTCTGGAATAAAAGGGACCTGAATTAAATCAATTATATATTAATTAAGTGTAGGTCATCTGTTTATAATATCTACAAAAAATTTTTTTAATCTCATGTCATTCAAAATTTATTCACTCAATAACTTATTTACCTCACATTTTGGGGAGCAAAAATTTATGCGTCATATAGAAAACTTTTGCAAAAAAAACTTTTGCACCTTACTTTAAAAGCCTGTTTATGTAGACGAGCTAAGAGTAGAAAAACTAAGCTTTGTCGCATTCTAGTTAAAATGTTTGAGTTAGTTTTTTCAACGCTTCAGTTAGCGCTTCTGTTAAGTCTGGATAAGGTCAGATTTGTGCAATAACTGAATTTAACGTACGTATTTTCTGTAAACTTCTATTTAAATATTATTTAAATACTTTCCGGAGACTGCTTATTTAATTAGTTTATTATGATTATTTTTAATTTTTGAAAATATCATTCTGATTAATTTTTATGTATTATTTGAGACATTGACGAAGCAAATAATTTATTATAAAATTATTATTTACCTTTTGTTTTTTATTTAAATTTCTTTTTTATTTATTCTAAAATTTAGTTTCCTGGAGAGTTTTCCACTTATAATTATTTTTTGATACAAAATAACATTTTCCCCCTTTAACAAAAAGTTTTTGAATTTGCAACTAAAATTTTATACAAATCTACGAATAATGGTTATAAAAATGTTAAATAAAATTTAAAAAATAAATTTTAAATACGGTTGTCAGTTGGGTAGTTCAAGGTTAAAAAATATACAAGGGTTTGGCCATGGATGATAATTTAATGACCATTTGGAATGAATATTTACAGGGGGCAATCAACAAAATTTTTAAATAAATACCGGGGGTGATATCTTTGGGTAGAGGACAAAACACATTCAATCCGAAATACAAGTGAATTCAATTAAAAAACACTGTCCACTTATAATAATTTAGATTTATGTCAATATATTTTATCTTAATATCTTTGATACCTACATGTATTCTTTCTTATCTAGTAACTACAACACTTATCTCTTAAATTTTTCGCTTTACTCTAATGTATCGGACGGATGGATTGTGTTTTGCCCTACGCGAATATCTTTTTGAATGTTTCTTTAAAAATTAAATAAAAAATAATCGTTTAATCTGGCTGAATACATTGTGTTTTCTTTCCTTTTTTGTTTGTTTTTTAATCTGTCTTTTACAAATTTTACATTTTTTACATTCTTCGATTTTTTCTTTTTTTCAACCTGTTAATTTAACTCAGGCTTTTTCATCGATTCATTTAACATTTCTGATAAGTCTTTTTGTTTGCTATTTTTTTCGTATTTTTGGATAGCAAAAACAGCGTTATCAACATCGTTCAAACCTTTAAAAAATTTAAATAAAAAAGTAAATATAAGTATATGCCCAGTTATTATGTTTCGTTAAGGCCATAGACTCATCCCTGCCTGCGTTTTAAAACTGCTCACTGTAAAAAAATTAAAAAGCGGTTTTTAACCGACGGTAAGCAGTTATCGTTGAAGTAACTTAGGAGGAAAAATTATAACAAGGAATGTCTAGTTATTTGTTTCAATATTCATTTTCAAAAAACTTGCCTTCTTTAGTAATTTTTCCGTTTATACGTGCAAAAATTGCAGAATCTTTTTTTCCTTTAACCAATTTTACTGCTTTTTCTTTTCCATAAATTTTTGGCAAAAATGTTTTTTTAATTAATGTAATTTTATTAAAATAAAGAATATATTCATCTTCTTCATCTTGAATATTTTTAATATTACTACCAGTACTTGCTTTTCCTTTTTCCGATTCTTTAGTTATTTTAATTGATATCTTTTTGTTTTCGTTTTTGTATACTTTATCATAAAGATGATAAAAAACAGCTCTAAACCACATTTCTATTAATTCTACAATAAAATCGTTATATTTCTCCAACATTTCCTTGCGCTTAATTTCCATGCTTTCTTTCAAAATTTGTTCATTCTCAA